GTAGCATTGATAATATAGTAACGTTACTGGCAGGACTGTTGATACTGATCCATAACAGAAACTAATGCGCAAGTATCAGCCGTATCTCGCGTTACCTAATGCAACTCCACACTACGGTGCTGTGTACCGGAGTGGAGACGCGAGATACGGCTGATACTTGACGATCTGGCGGAGAAAGGTTGTGGAGCCTCCGTTGATATGCCGTTGTAAATGGCTTGATGGAAAGCAGGTGTGTAGTCGGGGAGGGTGCACAGCTGATTGCAGCAGGTGAGTGGAGGTTGAGCCAGGAGCCAGGAGTGACAGCCACCACGCACACACAAACAACACAGACAGGGGGAAACAAACAAGCACAAAGGAGACGGCTGGAGCAGTACAGCCACCACAGCGTTACCTAATGCAACTCCACACTATGTCTTATGGTGCCGTGTAACGGAGGGGAGAGAGAGAGAGCAGCGAAGGGGGGGGAGAGAGAAGTAATACGGTTTCCTGATAAAGCTGTGGAGAGTATGTGCTGCAGGGAGGTGGATGCACAACGCACCCAGGAACGAACGCTAGCTCCGGTCCTTTTTACTGTGGACTCGATGTCCTGACAGGCTGGTATTTGTGCAACCTGCACAAACACAATACTGCACCATGATTACAAATGGTGAAATACAATGTAAAACTACCGAAAAATACCAGGTCCTTAAAACACAACCGCTCTACTCAACGCAACTCCACTATACCCGCGGTCAGAGAGCGGAGATGTGTCCCCTGTGTGATGTAATATTACGCGTTTGACGTATGAACTTAAAAAAAAACTTTTTTTAAGAGCAGAGCTCAAAATTGCTCCTTTCCCTCTGAATTCCTGCCCTTATGTCTCGTAAAACATATCAAATCCTGCATTCACTTTTTTAATTGTAATTTTCAAGCAAGTTTAAGCATAAATGTAGAAAAAATAAAAACCTGCAAGATGCTCTTTAAAGCTTTTTATCTTGTAGACTATAATATTTTGGAAAAGGAAGCCGTGGCCTCACATCCATTGTATTTAGAAGGAAACCGTGTTCAGTTACGTCTAACAGAGGTCAGGTGATTATTCCCAGAGGTCTTTGTGGATAAATAACAATGTTCAGGGATTCTGCGGGTGCAACAGATCTTTTTGAACCCGTTGAAACACAGAAAGTGGGCACAGAGCTTATGTGATGTATTTGATGTCAAGAGCACAGAAATGAACTGACACTATTGGTAAAAAACTAAAACTGACAGGCTGTCCAATCGGGAGAAAAACAAGGACGGACGGCATGCAACAGCACACACATTAGTTAATAATTAACATTAGTACTAATAGTAATAATGTATCCTGCATGTGTCCTGCACTGAATCTCTCAATTAATCCTCTGTGGTAGTTCCACTACACAAGATGAAAGTGTTTTAAACCTCACAGCTGTTAATAAAGAATTCCAAAAGTTGAGGCTGTCAGTGTTTAGAATGCTAAACAATATCTTTATGTTGCCATTGCCACCCAAAGCTTGAACCCCCCCCCTTGAGATGGGACGGATGTGTTAAAATCAGTTAGCGTCTGAGGGCTTCTTAACATTTAACAAACTATGAATTTGTCATACCCACTTAACGGGAAGAAACTCAGCTATCAGACAATATTAACCATTTTTAGCTAAACGAAACACAAGGGTAATAACAAAGGCTCTGAATTAGCCCTGAGCGAAATATTACTTATCGGATCTGCACAAACAAGATATCGATTAGTAAACTGAGATTCCACAGATATAAGTATCATCACTGAGTGATCAGAACTCCCGACATGGGAAACAAAACCAGACATCACACCACGTAGCTGTACGGAGCAAACACGGCAATTTGTCTTACCTTTTGCTGTTTCTGATCAAAAGTTTAGTTGAATGGCATCAAAACGCTGCTGAAGGTTAATCCATAGGTTCATCCAATGTGTCTGTGTCACTTTGAAATGATTACTGATGATCCATCATTCCATTTTTATGTCAATAACGGAGATTTAATGTCAGCTGCTACGGTAGCTACTAGATCAGGGATCACCTTTTTTAGGATGTGAGCAACTTTCAAAAAAACAAAACAAGTCGTGAGCTACTTTTACTCCTCTTTTTTGTTTTTTTGCAGTGTATATATTTAGCACATTTGAACATTATTATATGCTGACCTTTAACCTTTGTGTGCTTTTTGGGTCTGTGGGACCCTTTTCAGTGTTTACTAAAAGACACTGTATGCAATTTAATTATTTGAACCTGCTTTATTTGGGGGTGGACCTCACATCCTCTACGGGGCATGCACCCCTGGGAAAGTGAAATGCATCAATCTGGTGCACTTTCAGCACAAAATGAATGTATGGATACAGCTCTCAACACTCATGAAAGGGAGCTGTATACTTTTCAATAATCCAAACATCTTTAGAATATGATCAGAACCAATAACAAATCATTTAAACTTGCTTATTCTTATCTTATGTTACCTAGTTAGCATTCTTTCTTTTTTTTTTTATGCATATTTTACTAATCACTCCCCTTTTAAACTTTTTACTGTCCTATAGTACACATTGGAATTCATTCTTACTTTATCTATATTAAATAGATAAAAGTTCTCTCTCTCTCTCTCATCATTGCTTTGAGAAAAAAGATTATTAATTTACCCCTTTTAGAAGTGAAGTTATAGTCATTTGTTCTGGGCATGTCATTTTCGAGCCTGAGACCTGGAAAACAAGCTCAGGGCTTAACAGGTTTAAACTGTGTTCAATGGAGATGCGAGTGTGCATGTGTTTGTGCTCTGTAAATCAACCTACAGTTCATCTGGACAGTTGATGGGCTGTGCTATTCTGTAGCCGTCCTTCAGGTAGGCGGACATCTCGAAAGGGTCAATGTCCACGTAGGGGGTCTGACCCAGAGTCATCAGCTCCCACAAAGTCACTCCAAAGGCCCACTGTGAACACACACACACACGATCAACATTCGGAACAGTACTGGTTAGAAACATGATCAACACAAGCTGTTGTATCTGGTGTCAACATCAGACCCGATAAATATAATCAACATTTCCATCCAGGGTGCGGAAAGCCAACTTGCATTGAACAACAATGTGAGGAAATGATGAGTAAACAGTTGTGTTTGGGACAGTGTGAGGGTCCAACAGGGGTGTGTTGACCCTGCAGGCTGACCTCCAGGAGGAAACAAGCATGTCCATATCTGTGTGACTCTTTTACTGACCTACAGCCAAGGTCACACTGAAGAGCTAACAATAGGCTTTGACCCTGCACTTGTTATTTGGAATTTAAGGAGTCTAGCTAATGTCAAATGAAACTGGGCAGCTCTTGCTCTCTTGGCAGTGAATTATGAACAGAACATGATATGATCACTAAAGAGCAGCTTGCTGTTGTGTTAGTATGTCATAACCTTACATGCAGCCTTTAAAGGAAATGAAGGGAGTGATTGAGGGCAAAGGGCACAGCGATGGGGGGGCTCCTGAGAGAAGAGCGTGATGTACAGTACCCACCCTGTTCCCTCAGTGCCACTGCCAACAAATCCAACCAGGCCTAAACATCCTGACACTTGCATGAGGGTATGAAGCATTTGTGTGTGTGTGAGATTCTATCATGATGCTCCACAGTGCCAGGTACTTGTCTGGACTTTCCCTAAAGCTTAGTGGGTTGTAATGTAGGGGGTTGTAATATTGTCTGTTGATTGTAAGTGTAGGGGGGGTGTAACTACTGTGAAGTGGTGTGAGTGGTAAGAGGAATGTGGCGGGGGGGGGGTGGCATGTCTGGCAGCTGCTGTATCTCTGAGGAGCCTCCCAGTCCCGGTGCCACGCCCGTTCTGCTCCTGTGACACAGGAAGGTCACATGGTGCTCCACGCTGACTCCCTTCCCTCCAAACCTTGACCGAGCGTCTAAGAATGGCAATTGGTTCCATTTCCTGCATCACCCCCTCTGTATCATTTCCCCCTAAATGCAGTTATTAAAAACACCTCAAATGACAGGAAAGGATTACAGGACGCACCAATCAGGAACAGGCTAAGGAGCGGAGACTGTCAGTGCCCCCCTGACCTGAATTATTAAATCATCACTCAAAGAGAGATTACCTGACCAGGAAGAACTTCAAAATGACCACAAAGAAACATACAACAAATTCAAAGACAAGCAAAGAAACTGCAAAGAAACACTAAATAATAACAGGGCAAAACAACTAACACAAAAATGACTAAAAATGGACATATAATACCTACAGAGACACAAAACAACAAAGAAGATGTGTATTAACTAGGGCTGGGAACCATAACACATTAAAAATAAAATAACACAAATTAATGAAATCACCTAGTTCTCGCACAACCCAGAGCTGTTTCCCAAAGACAAAGAAAGCAGGGGGAATCCAGAAACATGTATTTCACTGACTGGAGAGCACTGGGCGTCAGTCAGAACCATCACTTACTCACTGTCACACACAGCTGATCAGGACTAATGCTCTGCACTCGCTCTGCAGGTGAGGTGAAAACAGAGGAATCTGGCTCCAACAACTGCCTCAAACTTAACAGTGATACTGATACTGTTTCCCTCCACCTCACTGCACCACCTTTCAGTTTAACCACCATGGGGTCCAGAGCCGTTACGGGCTGCACCCCCCCTCTGGAACTCCCTCCCACCGGACATCCAGAATATTGACCCTCTCTCCATTTTTAAATCAAGTCTCCAAACGTATCTCTTCATGGCATATCCAGCCGGATCACATGACACATCCTCTGTTTTTAATGATGATATACTGCATTGTCTTGTTTTTATTTATCTGCTGGTGTTTTGTGTTTTTCTGTGTTTTGTATCTTGTACTGCGACCATGAGAGCCTTGAAAGGCGCCTATATGAATAAAATGCATTATTATTGTCCACAGATAAAGTGTTCACAGTAAAGTGTGTGTGTGTCAGGCCTCACAACATCGCTGGCACTGGAGAAGTCGTTGTTGAGAAGGCTCTCCAGGGCCATCCAGCGCACCGGCCGGTTCTCATTGTCCCCCAGACAGTGGTAATCCATGGGAAACAGGTCTCGGGCAAGGGCATTGTCTGTTATCTTCACCTGCATGTTGTCGTCAATGCTGTGGGTGGGGGGGGGGGGAGAGAGAAAAAGTGGCGTCTTTATTTTTAGCAATTAAATTCCAATCCAAATCACCTGAAAGCTGAAGGGAAGCACTTAGCTCTGTGCCAGGCGGGGACACTTACACACAGTTCCTGGCAGCAAGGTCTTTGTGTATGACCTCCCTGCGAGAGAGGTAACTCATTCCACATGCAATCTGGATGGCCATGTAAACCAGGTCCTGTTGAGAGATCGCCTGAGAGGAAATGAGGGAGAGAGAGAGACAATGTGCAGTTGAGAAGCAGCAACAGGAAATACACTAAAAGGGGGGGAGAGGGGACAGGACACTAAAGCTGACGTGACTTTAAAGGTCCCATGTCATGCTTTTCTGGTTATTACCGTCCCCTTGTGTGTTATGTAGCTTTCTCTGCATGTAAACGGTCTGCAGAGTCACAAACCCTCAAAGTACACCCTGTAGCGAGTAAAACTCTAACACAGAAAATACCTGTCTATGCTGCCCCAGAACGCCTCGTTGGAGATTTTCTTTTTCCATTTCTTCCGGAAACCAATTGACGTAACGACGACCCCATGGACCAATTGGTCCAAATGGACCAATCCGCGGAGCCGTTACGTTTCCGCGGATTTCTCCGCCTGAGACGGCGGGACGCGGCGAGGCTGTGAGTCTGTGTGTAAACACCCACAGACTCACAGCCAGGCTGCGGGTGTGTGTATGTGTGCTCGGGCTGATTTTGGGCTGTGTCTCGCTGTCTCGCGAACCCGGAAACCACACCAGTAAGCCAGCTCACACTGTCCACTCCTCGCAGCAGCGAGCTGCACAACGTCCCGCCAACACGGCACCCAGACCCCACGCAGCATTCTCATCTGTTTGTCATTACTGGTGTCATTTTCTGGTTTCTAACGCCATTGTAACACATAATCGCTGATGTTCCGCTGTAACGGTGGTGGACTCATCAGAACAGAGTGGGCGAGATGACCAATCAGAGCACAGTGGGCTCACAGGGAGGGGGGGCAGGAGCTCCAACAAGCCGTGTAGGACAGAGAGTGAATACACATACTATACAGAGATGGTGTATGAGAAACCAATGTGAGTTTGGAACATTGAACAATGTAAATCTATTCTAGTAGACCTCAACAATGGAATTATGATCAGTAGAAATGGCCATGACATGGGACCTTTAATGTGCTGAAATTGGTCTTCTGTGTCAAATTGTTCGCATGACTCTTTTAAACTGACTCTGATGTCTATGTGTTCAGCCAAAGACATGGCACGAAGGATGGTCTTATTGGTGTGTTGGCCCCTTGCCACTGGTTAATTAATGGAATATTCATTGTAGCAAAAATACTTTTCCTCTAGATCAGGGGTTTTCAAAGTGTGGGAAGGTGAGCCTCCCCTCAGAGAACATAAGAACAGCCGCACACCACACACACTCTGTCTGTCCAACACATGTCCTGCAATACACATGCTGCAAGTAAATAAATAGTATTTTCATTTCAATAATTTACTTTCTTTACCCTGCTTCATAAACAATACTGACATCCCTGTGCTCCTCCGAGTCTGGGGGTCCGGGGATGTGAGGACAGCGCGAGGACACAGACAGGGAGGCTGCTTTACGTCATAAAGGAAATGGCGGTCAATATTTACAACACAGGAGCTAAAACGCTTAATAACCTTCATTACGTGTAAAAGAAAGAACATAAGAAAGGTTGACAAAGATGAGGCTGTTAAACGGGCAGCCGAACCAATGTGTGTAGAGAGAGAGAGAGAGAGAGAGAGAGAGAGAGAGAGAGAGAGAGCTGCACCGTGCAGCGATCAGCTGATCCGGAGCGTAGAGAGAGCGCTGCGGTCCGAGGGCCTCCGACCCCGGTCCTCACAACTCTTATTATTCCCGGGACCGGACAATTGTTATTTGTTCTTACCCGGAACCGAGTTTTGCTTCCCGACCCTCCACTGTGCTACACGTCCCGCCCGCCCCATCTAACAGTACAGAAAGCGGCGAGATGCATTTCCTTACAAACCGTGAACATTGGATAAAGCCAGGTTCATATTCTTGTTTCATGTTGTTGACATATTAGAGTCAAAGGTTTGCACAGAGCGAAATATCTTTGTGTTGCGCCATAAATGAGAAAATACTGCATTAAAAAAGTCATTTCCTGCATTTTTCTACTGATAAAGTGTGATATAAATAATGTACAGGCT